GTTAAATTAGGGACGGCTAGCGCAGATAGCCCTCGTGTGGCTTTGCGCGAAATTCAAACACAAAACAAACAAACAATCTTTTCGAGAATGTAACGTAACTACAACCTTTCACCTGTACAATAGTTTTTGGTAGTACACCGTGGCCCGAGCGTGGCCCAGTGGTTAACCTATCGGACTGGAGATCAAAGGATCTCAGGTTCGAGACATGTTACTACGAAACACACTTAATACTTTCATTTGCGGGTACATTGAGTGACTGCCAATCCTGCTATTCGGTTTAGATTAGCCGCTTTATATGGGGAGTGATGCCATCATGTAGTCCTCCCCATAGTCCGACATTTCAAATTATAGACAGTTGGCTATAGCTAAATCATAGGGAACTCTGACCTGGCTGTTTAGCCCACTATGTGTATCAGGTGTCGTTGATGAACCAACCAACAAACAGGAGCTTCAATACCATAGGTGTTTTTAACTTTGGTAATGATTATGTAGGTGACGAACAATCTCTCTAGATCTTTCTTAGTTTTAGATTATAACTAATGACTTACGTGTTATTTAACTTAAATCGAGGGTAAGTAGTCCTATAAAGTTTTGAAGAAATAAAATTAATAAAACTGTCTTCACGAATATATTGCATTTGCTCAGTTATTTACGTGACAATTTACTTATCGTGATATCATGAGGAGTTGTATCGTGTCCTTGATTTTTTCTTTGACCAGTTATGGTTACATAAATTGTCACAGTAATATAGAATAATCAAAATTAATTTACGCGGACGTAGGACAAATAATTCAGGCTCACCAATAAGGTTTATTTTCCTATTTTTAACTATCACAATACTTTAATATTTGTGCACTGCCGTTGTATCTGCAGTATAGCTTTAGAAATTGAAAAATAACTATAACGAATAAGACAATGAATAACATCTGTGCTGTTGGTCTATGTTAATAAAAAGTATAAGATAACTTATTTCAAGGATGTAAAGTATACTGATATAAACTTAACAATAGCCAGTCCATAAGTATATTTTATTATACTTAAGTCTATAATGGAATATACATGGTTGTAAGTATCTCTTGTAATATACTGCAACATACTTTGTGTCTGACATCAATAAAAAATAATGGGTTTTGAAATGTTCATTGTTACTTTGTTACATTGTTTTTAGTAAAGAAAAAGAGAGTTATCAGCTTCTGGTATGTAATATACTATGTTTGAGTATCTAAGGGTAGAACACCATTAGTTATATGAGAAACAAAAACACTCGCTTGACATTTAAATACTTAAACCAATTTGTTTTTGTCGGTTAAGCTATTTCTTCATTTACTGTAGAACTAGAATTTACCTTCTAACACACTACTTCGAGAATTTATAGGTACTATTAACCTGAAAAGTACAAACATTTAAACAGAACAAACAAGACACATACGTAGCACGCGTTCGGTAACAACATGTACTTCTAATGCTTCTCTTTTTGGAGATTTTTCCAACCCCGTTCCCTTGGCTGTGGTTTCGCAAGAACATTGCAAGTACCAAACGTTTTTGTAACTTCATTGTTATCTTGTATGGAGAAGAGAGATTAGACGAGTGTGAAAGTTTCAATACTGTAGTGAGCTTTGTGAAATTACTGTTAAGCTCCTGGAAGATAGGTTAGAAAACCATTTCCTAATACACTGAAAGTCACTTTATAACGTTTATCTCCAATACTTGAAATCACACAATAAGTTCATTAAAATCATTCCACTTAAGTGGTCATTCTACAAAAGTTGTAGTTATTTTCGTGGTGCAATGTTACACAATGGGCTATCTTCATTCTGTCCACTAGGGGGAGAATCTACCTAGGATTTTAGCGTTGTAAGACTTTAAACTTATCGTTGACTCACCGAGAACTTCTGCAAAATAACTTGTTTGTTTGTTGTTGTGCTTTCTGCTGTGTCCACCGCGGGAAATCGAATCCCGGATTTTAGCGTTGACTTATTGTTGTCCCACTGGGGAACTTGCAAAAGAAAACTATAAATATCAATAATAACGACTAAATATTGGAATGACGAAAGGATGCGTCCTTAAAGTAGTTTTTTTTTTTGCTAAATAAAATCTTGTAGTAGAATGTTGAAACTGACATTCTTGAAATCATTATAAGGATTCATGAATTTTCAGAAGTATGAAATTCATTTGGTGAGAAGGTCTTGTAGTAAATCAAATTGACTTCCTTAAGGAATCACAGTATTCGAAAGTCACTGGATATACTAAAAATTACTTACATTGTAGCAAATTCGTATATGTTGTTGAAGACTTGCTTCCCCACCATGATGATACCTAATTGGACAAAAACTTCGAAAAGACATCCGCCATTTTCGCACTGTAACATGAAAATTATTTTAAAATATTAGTGTAATGAATCGAACAGTTAAATACATATATAAATTACTATGACTTTTAACTTTAAAATATTACGATAAAATGCCTGCTGCTAAGGTTAAAAAAAATGCCTAAAATAAATTTAACCATCTTAACTAATATATACATTGTATATATATATATGTGTGTAAGAAATTGTTAAAATTTAAACATCTGTATTTCTTTTGGGCTAGAAAGAGTTTTTCGTCATGTAATTAATGTGTAACTTAACGTTCGGAATTTTCTTGGAAGTTTAGAATATGATTTAAACCGTATAAAACGCCAGTTATCTTAAAAAGTGTTTTAATTGATAATTGATTGGTGAATCTATTACAGTGGTGAATTGATTATTGAGTCAGTTTTTTGTACCATACTTCAATTTTGTGAATATTTAGTCTGTGTTCCAGCGAATTACTAGATATACAAAAAGTGCAGAGGAATTAGCAAGCGAGTGAATATGTTGCATTGGTGTCTACTTCTAACTTAGGTGTGTCAGTGAACATTAGTTAACGTAACTTGTAGTACTTGAAGTTCAAGAAATAAATCACTTTCGATATCATTAAGTGGACTTGGCTTTGGATTCTTCTTTTTGCCGAATAATTAAAAACAAAACGGGTCCAGAATTTGAACCGTTACAATAATATACATATATCAATAATATCAAGTAACTGAGATTGTTTTCCCATCTCTGTGGGCTTGTATGTGTTGGAATTTTGGATGGTCTGATCTTTTTTTGCAAATACCAGG